AGTCAGTTTATTTGATATTCGGCTAATAGTTCTGTTTTCTATATTCATCTATGTGTCATCAAGTGCAATAATATCCATTTCTGTGCAGACAAGAGCATTTAAATCCTTTATTGTTTCTTAAGACTCCTACTGTTCATGTAATATACTTTAAGTGTATTGTTATTTTGAGGCCCTTCTCCTTCCCTGTTCATTTTGCCGCCCCACCCCCCCACAAAAACATACTTTTACCGCCTCCTTTTTCTATATCCATTTCCATACCACTATCTAATAACAGTTTAAACCCAAACAAACCCCTCCAACCAGAGGTTCTAACGAGTTGGCAACAGCAATAACCCCAGCCCTAGATAAATGCACCCCATCACGAGTATACATGTCATTCCTGTCATAGAAGTGTTCCCAGGTATCTATGAACGATATTGCAATTGACTAGCAATATTTGTCTAGTCGGCAATAGACACCAAGTGGCCTCGACAACCATTCATTTCGAACTCCCTTTCTTGGAAGAATGCCACATATGATCAGGATTCCTCCCTTGCTCCTAATTCATTCTATGGCTGTCTTAAACCTCTGTATCAGTGCCCCACACCTAACTCATCCTGCATCATTTCCACCGGCAATGATGCAGGGTTTGCATCATTGATACAAATAATGGGTTTGTTCCCATTTCCAGCCATATTATTATTCATATTTACTATATCACCAATTCCTGCACCCAAATAGCAAACCCTTAACCTGTTCCCCCATCTATGGCACAAAAATCTCTATCCAAATACTTCACCTGGGAATCCCCCCAATCAAAATTCGCTTAGCTACTTCCTTTACTTTGAGCACCTTGAGGGACCTGCGCTCCCTTTGTTGCCTTGCCTTTCAAGCGAACGGCAGTCTCCCTACAGCACTCGTCTTCCAGCACGGCAAATGGATTGAAAGTCTGACAATCTGTATGCGGCTTTGTCAGAGTCTTCTTAAGACCCCTGTCCTTTTTGACATTCCAAGACTTTCTACTGTTGCTCTCCTCATTTACTTCTTCTCGACGTTGTTTTATCGTCTTTGCTCCTCCCACAAGGAATCCAACACTGTCCTCAGAGTGCCACATAGCTCCCTTACCAGCACCAGTTCACTCACTACACCTTCCATTTTCAGTGTCAGGACAATTGGAGCTCCAGATAACACCCTTTCACTGTGACTGACTCTGCCTGACTAGTGCTATCCAATTTGGGGTCATCAGTCACAGTTCTTGTTGCCTACCAAGAATCAGTCAGAACCTGGCCCCCTCAGGTGCACCGGGAGCAATGGTCTATGAACACTTTACATTTAAAGTACAGAGGAGCCTCGATTAACGAATTTAATCTGTTTCGGCACCAAGCTCATCATGTGAAACACTCTTCTTGCGAAACAAATTCACCCATTTAAAATAATGTAAATAAAATTAATCCATTCCACCCCCAAAACACATTAGTATGAAATTTTGTAATTATAATGCATGTAATTATTATAAATGTTTTATTTTACTGTTTTCAATTATACGTACTTTACCTTATGAAGAGTCGTTGCTGGCCTGAGGGAGACGATGGGGAGGTGGTGAGTAGGAGAGGGATTACAGTGAGGAAGGAAAGTCCACCTCTGAGTCAGGTGATTTCCTTCTTCAAATCTAAAGTAGTTGTGTCTTTCTTCCTCTTGACAACACTCGGATTTGGGAGTGTTGTGGAAGTGGATTTGCTTTAGCAAGCAGCTTCTTTGGCAACATTGTGAGTTACAAATTGTAGTCACAAAACCACAAACTCAAAGAAAAGCACAAATAAATGCTGGGGGATTGATTGACCTGCACAATAAAACAACACTGTCATCGGAGGTGTCCGAGAACGCTAGGAAGCACCATGTGGCTTTCTTGTTAATCAAGCGAAAGTCGTTCGAGACAAATTTTCTGCAAGCGACTCGCTCGTTACCCGAAATGCTTGTAGATGGGGCAGCTCGTCACACGACGTTCCTCTATCATACTAGCCATCTACCAGGGTAGGCACCCAGAAAGGTAAGTGAAACAAAACAGACCACTGTGGTTGAAAAAATGCGATCTGTCCTCAAAAAGAGGAAGAAAAAAAAAAAAAAAAAAAAAAGCACTTCGTTAACTAGCCCTTTACTTGTTTTTGCCCCCCCCCCCCTCCGTCTTGCGGAGAAAGAGGAAGCCCGGCTACCCACCATCCAGGTTCTCGAGTGATGAAAACCACCAACCGGAGGGAGGTGGTGGGGAAGCCTCTGGGGCTCACCCAGAAACTGCCACTGGTCCCCGGTGGGCAACAAGAACTGACTGATAACCCCAAATAGGATAGCCCTATATCGATGGGATAGCTTCAGGGAGCCGACGGGGCTCCCCACAGAAAATCCATTTTCAGGAAATGGGACAAGTATGAATGGCCTCTTTTAGTGACAGTGTAAGTTCATTTATGTAACTATGGCTGGCAACCCAGCAAAAATCAACTGTCTTAAATTGACAGCTAAGAAATGGCCAGTACAATGGTGGATTTTGGCAACAGGATGAAAAAAGTTAAACGAATTCAGAGCTGTGAAGATGCTAAGTCTTCAGGGAGGCAGGTAGCATATAAGTTTGATCCAGGAAATACAACAGAGTAACCAACGCTGTCAGCAGACTTGGATCCATCTGTGAACAGAGCAATGGAGTGAGGAAAATGCATTTCATACCAAGAGAATGGATACAAACCTCCACCATGTGAATCACAGCCCTACAAATTTTTTACAAGCAACACCCTCCAGGGGGGCAGGGAGGAACAAGGGAAAATATTGCAAATGTGAACCATAAGAATCTTGCTAACAAATAATCCTTGTAAGAAAGGTAACAAGAGGAAACTGGGCACGCCTGAAGTCCAGCAGACAAAGCACGGCACAAACAGGAGTAGGGATGTTGCAGGGATCACATGAGGTAACAAAAGCAGTAATGATCATTATGATCCTTTAGAGCTTTAGAGACAGGACACAGTTTTAACATATGAGATGAGACAAAACCAAGTAAGGACATTAGAGCATTCAATACAGAAGTGAGAGACAGGGCATTAGATCAACACCAAGAATTTAGCATTATCCTCATACAGATGGTTATTTCCATACAGCAACAATGGGGGAATGAGGTACAACATGTCCCCTAGTAAAGGTCATAGCACAAGTCTCAATTGGCAGAACTTTAAGCCATGGTCGGTGACCCAGGACGACATGTTATCGATAGCAAGTTAGAGGTGGCATTGGAGGAAAAGTTATCACATTTAGGGCAACAAGGAAAAAGTGTAGTGCTCAGAATGCTACCTTAAGAACACCTTCATATTGTTAGGGGAGGGAAAAAAAAAAAAAATAATAGCAAGCCGGTCGGCCGAGTGGACAGCACGCTGGACTTGTGATCCTGTGGTCCTGGGTTCGATCCCAGGCGCCGGCAAGAAACATTGGGCAGAGTTTCTTTCACCCTATGCCCCTGTTACCTAGCAGTAAAATAGGTACCTGGGTGTTAGTCAGCTGTCACGGGCTGCTTCCTGGGGGTGGAGGCCTGGTCGAGGACCGGGCCGCGGGGACACTAAAAAGCCCCGAAATCATCTCTAGATAACTCAAGAAGCCTCACTATAACCCATGGGCTGAGTAGCTATTAATTGCTGACAAACCCCCAGTGCACAAGAAAAACAATTCAACTTTTTTTTTACCTTCCAAAACTTAAAATCTCAAACTCCGATCGCAAGAAAAAATAAATTTACGACATTTTGGCCATAATGGGGGCTAGGAAATTTGAACAGATACTGGCAGACAGTACACGTCTTGGCCAGTCTGCTCCAGTCAGCCAAGAGGCAGGAGTTGCCACAAAAATATTATTACAGTACTAATTACTTTAACGTTTCCATTTTTTTCAGTAATATTATTCAAGTGTGTAATATGATAAATTTATATAACAAACATACAGTATAGGTGCAGTGCAGTCAGTTAGGCCAAAATCATATACGAGATGCACAGTCAAAGGGTTAAATGCAGAAAAAGGAAACTTTGAAGGGAAAAGGTTGCCACAAAGGCCAAAATACTGCACACATTGAATCTCAAAGTGGTGTCAAGCCTTTTTAAGGTAAAAAAAGAATAGCTACAATGGAGGTACTCACCACAAAGGCAGTATAAATGTAGACCTCCAAATTTACCAAGATATCAATGATGCCAAGACACTTGTAAAAACCGAAATGATGGAGGCAGAGGTTGAGGCGATGTTTCAAGACCCACACAATACATACTAACCATATGTTCTAAAAGTCTGTAGACAACTTCTCAGTGCAATGTGGTGAAAATCTTTAGAAAATGTTCTTCTAGTACAATTGCCTTGTGTCAATCCTCAGGAACCAATGTCCACCAAATATGATTACAGATATGCAGCAATTACTGCAAGGTGCAGAGGAAGACGACTAAGCAACTCTGTGTATAAACGGCAAAAATTGTTTTATTATTCCAAGAATATAATACTGTGTGCACAATAGTGGCATGAATACATCTGAGCATTCCGATTTTCAACATTTAATTATCAATAATAATATTGAGAGAGAAAGAAAAAAGAAAAAAACACTACTCTGAAACAGTGAAACCTAAAGATATCAACTCCACTACAACTCCTGCCCCATGTCTGGCCCCAGGTGATCACCTCAGGGCGACGACTCAAACTCTTGTGAATCTTGAGACTTTCCTGCTCCATCACACCCAAAATCAGTCATGTACAATTTTATTTTTTCTGTGATGAGTGAATGCACTTTAACAATACAGTACTGGAAGACAAAAAAAAAATTGAAATATTTTTCCTAGCACACTGGGGGGGGTTGTCAGGGATTAACAGGTGCACAGCTTAAACGTTAGTAACAACACTGCTCCCAGAGGGAATGCCAACAGTTAAAAGTCACCCAAAAGGAGCATAAGCTCCTGTAAAGAGTTAAGAGTTGTTTAGGATCAAGATATTGGAATATGTGGATGGAGATACAGTACTGTATGAGCTCCGTTATCCACAGCCCGCCTAATCGAATCCAGTATTTGGATTATCTGGCCAAAATCACATCTGGATAATTTTATGATAAAACTTTGCCATATCCGGACAAATCCGGATAACCAGATATTTGGTTAAGGAAATTTTCAAGAACTACACTTTTCAAGATCTACAATATCAATCAAAAAGATGAATTACAACAAGATGAAACTTATTTTATACTATATTTTTTATTTTTAGTGTGTGAATTTTAATTATGTTGGCTGTTAAGAAATTTTTTTGAATATATTCATTTGTTTTAGTTTCCCCAGTAAGAATTCTGTTTATCTAAATGTCTGGCTTATCCGGTGAGAGGGCCTTTCCATGTAGTCCGGGTAAGTGAGCTTAGTCAGTAAATGGAACAGACTGCATACCATTTACTAAGATACAAGTGGCAGTGGAATGAATTTTCAACTGAAAAAGGAAGGAAAAAAAAGAACATTGTTTTGGATCAACAGCAGTAGAGTTAGGGGTACCAAAAATAGTTGGGAGGCGAGAAGGGAACAATGGTGGAAGCAACCAGCCCATGTAGCAAACATTGGCTTCTGGAGACATTCAAAGCTGTGAAAACAGATCAAAAGATGTAGCTCATTAAAATTGATATTAAAAGCATGTACAGTGGAACCTCGGCTTACGAATGCCCCGATTCATGAATTCTTCAGGTTATGAGCTCAATTTCTTCATAAAATTCAATTCGGTTTACGAGTTTTGCCTCAAGTTATGAGCTTGTTGATAGTACATGTATGGGTCGACCGAGCACGTGGTTCTTGGTGGAACAGGCTACCGCACCCCAGTTTAAAAGGGGCCTCCCACATAGTGATGATCGCGCTTGAATTCTTTGTAAAGAATTTCATTGTTTTCAACTTTTTTGTTTCTAAACAAAAGTATTATATATCATGACATGGGACCCAAGAAAGTCAGTGGTAAGGTTCAACTTAAGAAAACACAAGTGAGGATGACAGAAAAACAAGTCTATGGAACAGTTCTTGGTGAGAAACAAGCAGTGAGCCACAATCGGGTCCTAGTGGTATGCAGGCAAAGCATAAGGGAGAGTACCCCAGAAAAGCCATCACTGCCTGATGTTATAATGGAAGGGGACCCCCCCCCCCTCCTCATCATCATCTGCCATACATCAACAAGAATCATCAATAAAGATAAGCTAAACTTGTACATAATATAGTACAAAATGTGTGTTTATTATGCATGAAATGTATTCTGATGTTAATATTTTTGGGAGTGTGAACCGGATTAATTCAATTTACAGTACATTACTATTTCTTATGAGAAAATTTGTTTCGGGTTACAATCCATCTCTGGGAATGGATTAAATTCGTAAACAAAGGTACCACTGTATATTCCATTGATGAATAGACATTGTAAAGAACAAGAAAAATCAAAAGCTAAAAAAATTACCCCCTCCCAAAAACAAAAGTCTAAAGTTCCAAGTAGAAATGCAAAGGTACAGTGTTGTCGAGATAACTCTAGGACACTGAAATAAAATACTGTGAATAAATACTCAATAAATTCTAATGAGCATAGATTGATACTGATAGGATATTAATTTGAACAAACAACTTTATACCTTACCTGTACTACATTTTGCTAATTGATCAAGAATACTGAAGATTGAAGCATTTTTCCAAGAGAAGACTGAAGCACTGTAAAGTACAGTACAAAAGTAGCATCCAGCCTTGGAAGCCAAGGACCAGTGGGAGTTAAACCCAATTCCTTGGGCTAAGATAAAACAAGGAAATAAAAGACAGCCAAAAAGTAAATGTGTGAATATTTGAGAACTTAAGATCAAAATTCAAACATCTGGAGAACACAAAAGTGACCTGGAAAAATGTCTTTGAAAACATCTAATACAACAAGAAAGAATATTTTACATAGGGATCTCGCCCTTTTCTGAACGAGTTCAAGTAGAAGATTTCTGCGAAAATACAATACATGTCCGATTGTGTGTAAAAATTCTGTATACAGTATTTAATCACACAAATGGACCAGGCTATAATGTCCAATGAGAAATGAGCAGGCAGAATAAGCACAGAAACAAGAACATTAAGGCAATTTTGTTTTTTCACAAGTGTGAAGCCAATATAAGGTAGCACTGGCTATAGATTTAGTAAATGTAGATAGCTAGGCAGCTTGCAGCATGACATGCCAACGGGTTTACCAGCTTTCGGAAAGCTCCGAGATTTCGAAAGCTCCAAATTTCAAACGGCTTTGAATATAAATTCATTACCATAATTGATGAATATAAATTTCCAAACCGATTACAATGAACTAAACGAAATTTTATGCATGCACCTGTGGATGACGTTTCTAGAGAATTTTGCATCATAAAATATACTGAATGCATATTATCATTTTACAAGCAATCGTCACATGTTGCACACTTTAAAACCAAAGAAATATTATCTTTAGTATAATAGGGTTGTCAATTTTATGAACATTTTCCAAGAGGACACTAATCGGCTATTTTAACGTGCTATATTTAAATTGCATGTGAACAAATGCATGTTAATGCCAGTGTACGAGTGTGCTTGTGTGTAAAAGTGCGCTTGAATGTATGGACATAGAAGAGTGCACATAGAGGTATGCATGCACATTAAAGTGCACACAGGTGCAGGAGTGAATGCAAATGCAATATACAAGTATGTTGGAGAATGAGTGATTTAGTATTTGTGCGAATACATGCAAATGTGAATTCGTGTGCACACATGTGCATGCATATCTGATGATGGGGAAAAGCATGAACAAATTTGTGTTTCCTTGCCTGTGGTCAAAGGATTCAAGATATGTCTGATGTTCTGTCTTCTTCAGTTATCAAATTTTATAAAAAATTCCAGTGATTTTGAGTATGCATTTAAATACATTTGTGCGTACGTGAAAAAGCGTGCCAAGGCGAGTGTGAAAACTGTGTTTACAAGGATAGTATGCATGAAAACACATGTACGTATGTGAGCATTATTTAGGAAAGTGCGTGTGTGTGTATGAGTCTTAAGTTTGTGTGTATTCCAGTGAAATACTTTGTACTCAACTAGCTGTGTCCACATGTTTGACCATCTGGTGCATGTACTCGTGCACATGTAATGTGTGTATATTCCCATTAGTAAGCAGGTGTACAAGTGTGTATGCATGCATGTATGCATGCATACATGCATGTGAAAGTATGAATATCTTTTTTAATGCAAATTGTTAATTTTAAGATCAACAAATATTGTGTTCTGACAACTATCAATAAGTTTAACAAGGTGATCCCTAGATACAGTTAGAAATTACAAAATACAAATTGAAATTGTATGGTTACATTTCATTTTTAAATTTACAATCTACTATTAATTGACTAGGACAGCATACATCATTAATAAATTTAGCAGTTTATATCCAATTCAGGTTATTCAAAATAGAACAAGTTAAGCTTGTGACTGAAGACACACACTCCTTAGGCCTTGCAAGAAATTTAAGTGGCTTAACTTCATTCCACGTGATGGATAGCTTTTTTTTTTGTAACTATAATAGGAAGCTTATTCTTTATAGTTATTGACTGGCTATTTCCATGTTAAAGTGCTGAAGGCCTCCAAACCCTCAACTAAACTTTGAGCAGATATTTGGCTGTGACTAGTGGCTGACAGACCCTGTTATTTAAATAACTACCAACAATCAAAACAAGCATTAATGCTTTGCAAAACAAGTCTTGATCTTCAAAACTCCCACTAATGTTCATACATTAATATACAAGGGGTTCTTTCATTACATTCCTTTCCATGTCCTCCATATGCCCATATGGAGGACAACAAGTGCACAATACAACAAGTATTGTACTGTACTATACTATTTAGCTGCTATCCAGATGATGGACCAGTTTCAATACTATCAAATTTTGCATGGCCAAAAATTACAAGAGAAATTGTAATTTACACTACAGATGGTAAAAAAAGAAAAAAAATCTACCGTATATGCCTCTTGCAATTTCTATTTAGACCCCAAAAGGCATGTTTAGAGTCAAGTGTCAAATAATGTAATACATGTTTAAATCCTAAAAGAATGTGCAACAATCTACAACAGCATTTATAGAACAAGGAAAAAATTTACCATTTTCCAATAAGAAGTTCATATATTTTATAATCTATTCTTTCTGAAAATGAACTCATCTCATCCAATAATCTATTACAGACCACAACAATAACAAGTGCTGGCCTTGCTGGTATTTTAACAGTAATACTTAAGGGACAAGACAACCAAATTATGATCTTGGCATTTAGTATTTTTGCTGAAAATGTACATTAGAGAAATTGAGCAAAACTTCACAGATCGAAACTATATTCAGAAATTACCCCATGTAGTAATATTTAACGTACAGTTATAACTTTAATGCTGACAGTTCTCAACAATTCAAAAACAATTCCTCTACGAGATGAAGTCAGACGATGTAAGAACCGAATTCCGCTGATGGATATGGGAGAAAATAGAACAAAATGCCTGTTTAATGAAGAACAAACCTGCCATATGCATCACTTCTCTTCATTATAAACAAACCTGATCAATTCCTCAAATGATCAATCCAATAAATGCTGAACCCTCCAAAATACTACACAGGAATCTTCAATAAATATCTTTCCCCATTAAAAACAAAAAACAAAACCTATGCTGTACAGTACTTTCAAAAATCTTTCTCGAGTACTTGCAGAGAGATGCCAATACTTCTTCCAAATGACTAATTACTGTAAAATTAAGTGATTACATATCACATTTTTACAAAAACAAGTTTTTATTGTGTTCAAACAAGTCAGGTTATCTAATATTAACAACCTTTAAGGAATGCCAAAACGATCTCAACAGTCAGATTTCCACTGACACACTAATAACAAGCAAAAGTTTTCTATACAGTATTTGCTTTTATCACTTGTTAATTCTTACAACTAAACATTTTCAGGAGGATGGGTTAACCATATGAACTTGCAAATATCAAAGTCAAATGTTTTCTCATGTTTTAGTGATTACGTCTAATACACAAGCTTTTATCACACTATGCCTTGGTCTTCCTGTGTTAATGTCCTTCAGTCTACATCTCTTGTTCTGCGAGGTCATCAAGCTTGGTGAGCACAACAGACTGCCTTGACAGGAGTGAACCAGAAGGATGGAGGGAATCATCTGGGGGAGATGTTGGTATACTGCTGCAACTAGCTGAAGATGAAGCAGACAACTCCAAATCAATATCAAAACCATCACTACAGACAGACTTGCCCCGTTGAGACCTTCCAATTTTGCGAGCAAGAGTATCTATGCGGTTATTTTGCTCTAAAATAAAAGATTCTAAGGTCTGATTAGTTAAAGCCAATGACTGGCAACGTAGCTCAACAGCCCGACACGCCTCTGCTCCAGCTTCACTAGCTGCTTTCACTGCAAGATGCTGTTTTTCCAAAAGCTTATTCTTTTCTACTAAATCATGTTCTAGCTGTAATACATGAGCATGAGCAGCATCTAATTTAACTAAAGCAATTCGACATTTTTCTTCAAGCTCTTCTACCTGTCGCTTGGCTGCGGTACGCTCCATTTCTATACCCATCATGGCACCAGGACCTCCTGACATTGTTAACCTCCACACCTCCTGTTTATACTGGCTTTGTATTTCTCCCATGAGACACACTTGTTTCTGTAAAACTTCCACCTGGTTGCGCAGGGTAATGTTTTCATCAGCTAAACGAGCCTGAAAGTTGAGCTGTCTATCTTTTTCTAGCATGGTTCCTTGTGCTAATTGCAACCGACTGGTCAGGGTCTCATTTTCTTGTCGAAGAGCAATACATTGTTGTTTTAACAAGTCTCTTCCTTCTTGAGCATCATCCCGCTCAATACGCATTTCACTAACTAAGGCATGCTCTTTAGACAAGGCCAGTTGCAGCTGCTGCTCCTTGTTTGATGCATTCTTTTGCAAATTGCAGACATCATGCTTCAAATTTAACACTTCCTCTTCCAATTGAGATATTTTTCCTTTCAATCCACGCTGCTGCTCTTCAAGGGCATACACTTTCTTTGCTCTGCTTAAAAGTCTACGATTACGTTCGGCATGTACTTCACGTTTATATCGCTCCAAAAGCAACATAATTTGCATGAGGCGAACATGGTTTTTCCATCCTTCATTTCCTGCTGTTTGATTTGGTTGCTGCCACAAAATATTTTGAGCTTCTTCACCAATCTTGGCACTTGACTGCAAGTACTTATCAAGTAGCTCATGTGGCGAAGGTCTGGAAAAATTTGCGTCATTTGTGTTTTCATTTTTTGGCAGATGCGATGTTGGGCCAGACACAAGAGCACCAAGAAGTTGTTCATAAGGATTAACAACAGTGATTTCTTCTGTTTGTGTTGTTGCCTCACTTGTCACTACTGCCTGCCTTACTGGAGATAATGTAAGAGAAGACATAGCAGACACTTTCCTAACTCTTGCTTCATTAGCAATAGATGCACGGGGTCCACCATCTACCGACAGATCTGGGCACGATAAGCTCCTTGATCGAGTTTTAATGGGGCCACTCATAAATTGTGTGGGAGACAAAGTAACTCTTGTTGTCCCTACCATATTGTACTGTGACAGATCAGGTGGTGGACCACATTGACTAAGAAATCTTAACCTCATTGTTCTCATGTTTTTTACTAGATCAGTCATTGATCTTTGGGTAGGAACTCCTAATCCTAGGCTTTCTGGTTCATCACATTTTATGGTTGCACATACCTGAGACTCGTCTGAGGATCTTCTGCTCTCACTACTTTCAGATTCTCTCTCTTCAGATATTCTCTTAATTGCTTTAGGTACTCTACAATTCTGATCTCCATTCTCTGTATCAATTTTATGAGCACCTTCATTAGAAAAATCCAATTCATTATTTCCTTCAGCAAACTCATCAACAGGGATTCCTAATTGTCTCAGGTCAATATTATGACTGCCATCATACATTGATAATTTTCTCCTCCTATTCACTTGCTCAAATTGTGGGATTATGATTTCAACTTTCGGATCAACTTCACTTTCTATTGTCGAAAAACTACTGCTCCGTCTCTCCCCCAATGTCTTCCTCGGCATCACTGCACCATTTTCTTCAGTTTCTTTAACATCCTTTGAATCAATATCTTTGCTTTCTATGTCACTATTATCCAAGGCTTTATTTTCTTTCTGGATTTGTTGTCTGTCTCTTATTATCTGCTGCAACTTACTTTGGAGGAGGGTAGAGCGCTCCACTCTATTAAACAAGTCTTGGCACTGATCAGGAAAACTGAATGGGGTTTGTTCCTTTTTTATAGGTGACAAAGGACTAGAACTGGCCTCTAACTCTGCAGAGATGGCTCTGTTGTCCTTACTTACATTTGTGTTGAGTTTTAAGGCACACAATGCAGTAACAGCTCGGCGACTGCCAACATTACTGGCTTCCATCTTTATTGGTGAAGTAAAGGGTGTCGATTCAGGGGTGGCCTCAATAGCTGCTTCAGGTGGAGATTCTGCTACTTTGCCCCCTAATCTCAGGTTGGGAGTGCTTATAGGGTACACTGGCGTATGAGGTACAGAGGAAGATGAACCCCTTTGTGTTTGAATTATAGCAGGTGATGACAGTGCTAGAGTAGGAGACCAGAAGTTATTTTCTACTGCATACAATGCCCAATTGGTGGACAAATTCAAAGGTTCAGAAGCTACATCACTACCTTGGTTTCGATTAAAAAATGAGCCACATACCTCCTCACATGTTGCCTCAATGGGATCTAGACAAAGCTTAGCACATTCAAGAATAAGATGGTGAGTTTCTAGTCCCATCCATCTAGTTCTGGTTATTTCAGATTCTCTCGTGTCAGTTATCAGAAGTGGATGAAGACGGACTTTTTCCATCATAGGCTTAAGAGTATTGAAGAAACAGGCAGATGAATTTGTCTTTGAGAAATTATTTCTTAAGCATGTAAGAAAGTGACATGGATACAAAGCATACAGTCTATGAAATAGGGAATACACAGCCACCTGTAAAAATGGCTGAAAAGCCTCATCATTTTCTCGTTTTGGAGTCCATCGAACTAACCGGCAGAAAATATCTAATACTGTAGAAAGATGCATGTGTCCCATTTCTAGTGGCAAAGCAGGAAGGAGAACCACTATAACCATGACCGCACCCACCAGAACAGGAACATCCTCATCTGTTAAAAGTACGTGGAGTAGTTCCCGCATTGCACCATGCTGAAGAAATTTTCGCAGCCACATGGGAGGAGGTTGGCGACGAACGGCATAGAGCAAAATGCAGGTGTGACGAAAGCGATCTGATCCTTTCAATCCATCCATGAGTCTATCTAAGAGATGACGATCATGAGGTTCACCCACTCCCAGCAGAATATCCAGGAGACGTCCACTGTAAGATACACGATATGCTTAAGAAACCATTCATTTTTATAGACAACACACTTTAGATTTTAAATCTATAAACAAATTATATACTAATTATTGCCTAATTGATAACGAAATACTGTATTGCCAAGTAAAAAAAATGGGATAAGAATTTTTACTAGAGATGGGGAGCACTGCTACATATTTCCTTACTCTTGAACATTTATTAACCTCTGCACTGCGCACCCCTTTGGAAAAAACTTTGTAATGCACTTGATAAGGACATGTAATTTTTATAAATGTTCAGGTAAAGTTAGTCAAAATGTTTCCAAACTCAACTATTTTCATTTCAAAACACAGAGTGATGAAAACATTAAAAAACATTAAAATAGTACAGTATAGCCTAATTAATTAAAAAAAAAAACAGAAAACTCTCAAAACAGCATTTGTTGTTTGGTGCAGTGCAGTGGTTAATACAGTAGAATCCTAATTATCCAGATGCTGATATTCCAGATTCTTGGATTATTCGGACAAAAATATCCAGTTTTCTATTCCCAGTATCTGGAACATCCAATTGATGGCAGTTCACCCACATTATCTGTGAACTCTTTGTGCAGTTTAATACATCAGTCTCCTATTTATTATATTGTGAATAGTAATAACCTCCCAAAATCTAGCCTAAGCCCTTAAAGAGTGGTTATCGTTATACGTTGAGGCACGGGGCAATGCTGTTATTGTCTGTTGATTTAAATTATTAATGTCTGGGTTTTTACATGTATAGTGCTAATATGGACATAATAGCGCTATGTGGATGTAATGGAGTTTTCCTTGACATGTGAAAAAAAAACTGCTATCATTTTAGTTACCTTATTATGTGAATGCAGTAATTGTTATTGTATAAAATTTTGTCATAATTACATGATATGTATACCAATGATGTTCATATGGTTTTCTCAACTCTGTATGGTTGTATTGAAGTATACCAGGTCAATCATCAATTGAACATAATAAAGGAACTACAGAAGGCCTATTGACTTACGAGGCAGCTCGATATTTATACCAATATAAATAGATGCTGCCTTGCATGGGCATATGTGCGGCAGCAATGTACTGTACTGTACTGTACTTGTATGGATAAAAATAGCAACAGTCTCGTATGGGTTTATTTATGTGCATTTATATCACTTATTATACATAAGTTGTAATGAAGTGTGTTGAAAATTACTCTAGTACAGTATATAATAGTATCAAAACACTAAAGCATGTACATGTATAAACATTGTAGGCATAGAAAAGTTACCCCTTATAAGACAGTAATGTACTCTTAGTTTTGTGAATGATGCACTTATAAATCCAGTTAATCAACATTCATACTATAATAAACACTGTACATGAAAACAGGTGATACACAATCAAGGTAACATCCAAGGTGAACACTGGAATGTTCACCTTGGATGTTGTTCACTTGTACACCAACTAACAAATGACAGCAAAATCATTATCGCTATCGCGTGTCAATGGATACCTCCACACCTCGTCAATGCACAACCTTTCACAGCTCTTCCAAGTACTAAAAATGTACATATTTGTATATTTAATTTTTCTTACATTTTGCATATAAATATTGTCATACAAATAATATTTGGAATTTTAATTTTTTCGCACAGGCAGGAGGAATGACTTTTTCAATAGCCGCACATTAAAGGTTAATAACAAATTGGCCCAAATACTGTACACCAATTCTACAACCAGATTTTGATATGAATTCATGTAAGCATTTGCTGTAAAATGGTGGCTGATGCCATTTAGTAATTTACATATGTTTGTGCTTTTAGTAGTAAGTACTGTTATCAAAGAATAGTTTGGGTCATGGGAAACAAATCAATGGGTCTGGTTTGGAGAAACTTTTTTTTTTGTCTAGTTTTAAGTTTGAAAGTGGCAAGTTCTTGCAGGTGGAGATTGGAATTTGGCTTGGAGGAGGTACAAGAAATTTTATTCCGAAAGTGTTTGAGATTCTCTCTTGAAATACTAGTTTTCTCTCATCAAGATGTCACAAAATCTTAGACCTCGACACTTATCTGATTTACCCAAGGGGCACTAACCCTAGTGGACTCAACGAGGACAAGAAGACGGCCGCTTGTCAAAGGTCCCCATCATTTGCCTTTATCTTTTCTAGGTACAGTATATTTTAAAACAGTTTTGGCAGTTATTGCTTCGGTAGGTAGGTGGTTCCATGGGTTAAAAACCTTGTGGGTCAAAAAGCATCTCGCTGTTCTCAGTCCTACATTGAAGCTTGTCGAGTTTGAAACCATTGCTCCTTGTTTGCATTAAATCTGACCTCCTGAAGAAAATATCCAGATCAATTTGTTCAGTATTAAAAGTTTCAATGAGATCTGCCCTGTCATGTCTGATTTGCAGTGTTGATAGCCCTGTGGCCTTCAAGCATTCCTGGTATGGGAGATGACTGGGCTCTGGAATGGCTTTTGTTGCCCGGTGTTGCACCTTCTCCAGAGCATCTATATCCTTCTGGAAATGAGGTCTCCTGTTTGGATACAGTAATCCAAATGGGGTCATATCAGAGATTTATACAGTTGAACCATTACCCTCTTTTCCTTTTAGTCAAAAGTATGCTTGATTATCCCAAGAGTTTGGTTAGCTGTTCTGACTGCTGCACCCACCTGTTGAGCAACTTTTAATGAGCGGTGGATTTTGACTTCAAGGTCCTTTTCTTCATCTATCTGCTGTAATGTAATGCTACTTTTCAGCTCGGCGCGTGAGCACCGCAGACATCTAGGAAAGGCTCTTGACGTTTCGGGCGAGCATGCAGACACACTGAAATGTGTATACTCATTTAAGTTTTCTCACCTTAATTCTCGTGCTACGTCGTTCGTTTTGGCATCATTGCGTGCGCAATAGAATTCCCTACAGGAATGTATGCATATAAGGCCCAAAGGCCCCGCATAACCCCCCCCCCCACAGCAAAGCCTAGAGTCGGCAAACCGTTACCCATGAGCAAGCACCAATTGGTACACCCGCAATCTAATGTGTATACTCGTTTCGGTTTGATACCATCATTTTCGTGTTAAATCTTTCATTTTGGTATCAAATTGTTCGGAATATAAAGGCATGCATTTTAAAACTAGTCCCATAATAATAGAATAAATGGAATTTTAACAAATATTTTAAGTTTTGGACACTCATCACCACAAAAGTATTTATAATCTTTCCAGTGTTCTGACCTCAATTGTCAGGCTACATCGTCATTATGGTATCATATTGTGCGCAATCTAAAGGCGCTCATTTTGAAACCAGTCCCAGATTGATCGGATAAAATTTAGATTTTTAACATATTTTAATAATGGACGTGAGCACGTGTCTGCTGCTCGGACACGAGAGAAAAATATCAGACGCACTTGGACGCCTACGTGCGCGATAGTGTTAACACTTTCAGCCGTCAGTGACATTGCATCCATAAATAACTACGGAGGTTTGGCAGTGATGCATTTTGCATCCAAAATTAAAATATTTGTTAAAATTCCATTTTCCCCCTGGTCATTATAAGACGTGTTTTAAAACGTGTGCCAAGTGCTTCCCTTTTTTTTGTTGTTCTGTGATGGCTCATGTGGCATCACGGCACCGCCTGCCATGCAGTAGACCCATTGTTATCGTGTCTACTCTCGTGACTGCTACGGCCTCCCCTTGCGTCCAACATGTGTGCCCGTTCTGGCTATTTTTCCGCAGCTATATTTGTTACTGCCTTTATACACTATATTTACTCCAAGATGGATAGTGATTAAGAAGAGAGCCATGCCAGGACGAAAGCAGGGAAAGAAACACGTCAGAGAGAAGCCAAATAGTGTTCACCCACACCAACAAAATTCCAAGGGCCAGATTCACGAAGCAGTTACGCAAGCACTTACAAACTTGTATATCTTTTCTCAATCTTTGGCGGCTTTGATTACAATTATTAAACAGTTAATGAGCTCCGAAGCACCTGGAGGCTGTTTATAACAATAACAGTTGATTGGGAAGTTTTCATGCTTGTAAACTGTTGAATAAATGTAACCAATAAATGTAATCAAAGATTAAGGAAAGATGTACACGTTCGCAAGTACTTGCGTAACTGCTTCGTGAATCTGGCCCTAGGCTTTTAGTTAGAATTTCTGATCTTGAAAGTGCCGAAAGTGACAGTGATGTAGATAATGAGGTGGCTGAAACTGAAACAGCAGGTGAGGATGAAATTTAAAGTGAGGGGAGTGATGTTGATACTGCCACATGTGCAGGGCCTGCTCTGGGATCTGACCTGCCCTCTGGGATTTTTAGTTATTTATTATGCAAGACTTGCCGACATTTATGGTACGCATCACAAAGCATGTCCAACGCTTCTAACACAAACAGTAAGTGGGATGAAGTGAGTAAAATAGCTTGCCAGATTTTTGTGACTGACAATGTTGATGAGCATTGTGAAGATGCCAGTGATGAGAATGCACTGGCAAACAGGTAAATTGTGGCATGTATTTTTTTTTCAATAATTTTATGACTGTGATACAATATGAATTGAGTGCAAAGCATTTTCACTCATAACAATAATGCCATTCCCAAAGACAATCAAGACAGACTAATAAAAGAACATCCATGGAATATCTCGCACATAAATGCAAAACATTATACATTCCTCAGAAAAATCTGTTTGGATGAAGGCACAATGTCATGGAGGGGCCATCTAGCTTTCAAGGTCTATAATCCAAATAACCCTGACAAGTATGGAGTAAAGCTGTACATGTTGGCTGAATCACATACTGGTTACATCTATGATTTTGAAGTGTATGCAGGAATTGGGAAGAAAACAATTCAAACAGTTATGGGCATGATTGAACTACTGAGGAACAAAGGTTATCATTTATGTATGGATAGCTACTATCAGTTCAACTGAGTGAAAAGCTGCTTGAACAAGGTGTATACACCTTTGGTACTCTCAGATTGCAGCATAGTGCACCAAAAGATCTTCAGCTACAAGCAAAGGGTAAACTGCCAGTAGATAAAACTATTCTGACAAAAGGACAATTCTTTTATAATTCTGTGGAAAGATACACAAGTTGTTTCACTCCCTGTGTTGTTCTTCCATTTGCTCTTATATGCACATATCCCTTTAGAGCATTCTATTGCGAATAATTTGATACCAAAACGAATGACCTAATACGAAAAATTGAGGCGATCAAACTGAAAAAGAGTACACATTTGAGTGCGGGTGTGCAGATGGGTGCTCGCTCATGGGCAACGCTCAATGGATTTTCTGGTTTGTTGTGGGTGGCGCATCTGTTTTACCTTATACAGTATGCATATAATGCATTCCTTTAGAGGAGCCTATTGCAAACAATTTGATACCAAAATGAACGATGTAACAAAAATCGACGCGAGAAAATTGAAAGGAGCACACATTTTAGTGTGGTTGCGCACTCATGGGTAACACACTGCCGATTTTAGGGTTTGCTGTGGGTGGCATACTGCGTTTTTTGACCTTGTATGCATATATCCCTAAGAGAATTTTATTGTGAACAATTTAATACCAGAATGAACGACATAACACAAAAATTGAGGTGAGAAAACTTAAAATAGTACACATTTTACACCTGGGGGAGGGGTGGGGCGCACACGTTGGGCAGCTCGAAGTGTTAAAGTGGTACGTTGTGAGAAATGCTTTTTCATATCTAGGAGTCTATGACTCCTCCATTGAGTTCCATATCCACCAAAAATTAACAATTCTTCTCTAACCAGTGAGAGGCACTTGAAAAGGTGGAATGTAGTAAAAAAAATGCTATGGATAAGCAAATGACACTAAAGAGCTTTCATGAAGTTGAAGTGTTAATTCATTAACAAAGGAAGTAACAATTATTTTAACTTAACATTTTAAACAGTTCAATGTAATTCTTCTTGGCTTGTGAGCAAATCGATTGGTAACTTTCTGTAAAATTCTGGCTTGCTCTGAAGATCATGTAATAATTCTGTATATCTGACAAATCTTTATAATCATAAATATTCCACACATTTTTATCATTTGAAAATGCAAGACTTTGCACAAACTGCATTTACAGTTTGGGTTAATATAGCAAAATAAATGTGTGCAGCATTACATCACCTCTGCAAAATGAACTGAATTTCTTAATTTTAGTGTTTACTAGATGATAGATAGTGCAGTATACTCTCATAATACTGTATTATCTCCTTCAAAACAAAATTAACAGACTAAAAAAATATATATTATTTGTAGATTTTTAAACATATTATTCCAAAATGGTAATGTCATCACTTGAAATTTTAAGCACTGCACTGCACCAAACAAATGCTGTTTTAAGAGTTGTCATTTTTTTTTTAATTAGGCTATATTTTAACGTTTTTTAATATTTTCACTGCATTTTGAAATGAAAATAGTCGAGTTTGGAAACATTTTGACATAACTACCTGTTTATAAAAAAAAAAAAAAAAAATGTTCTTAACAATTGCACTATGAAGTTTTTGCCAAAAACAGGTGCGAAGTGCAGGGTTAATGAACTGGTAATGCTACAGTGCTGCCGGACCCTTCCCTACTTTTAATAGGGGAGGGGGCACCTGAGAGAGTGCCGTGCTTACGTCGTTAAAATCTCTAGCTAAATTGTTTTTCTCAGTGAAAGTAACGTATTAGGGACGAAACATTACAGCAACGGAATGCTTTCCACAATATATACCTGGGTCTCTTGTGGTACAGTCGGGTTTGTTCTCAAACCACAATCAAGAATTTCAGGTGAAACAGAAAAGCTTGGTCACGTTTCCTAACACCTAATGTACCTGTTCTCCTAGCAGTAAATATGTACCTATGAGTTAGTCAGCTTATTATGGGGTTGCATATGGGAGAGGGGCCAGTAATTTGTCCTTGGAAGGAAGAGCTTGATATAAGCCTAACATGTGTATATATATATACACATTGGCTGCCTGTCCAACAATAAATTATTTAATTATACCTGTACTGAATTATGAATTTTATTAGATTTATCTGAACCTCATTTACATGGTTTTGGAAATATGGGAGTAACAGTTTACAATTTATTTGCCTTCATCTATGTTTGGGAGTGGTATATTTATTCTGTAAGAGGGCGGAACAAGGTTACTGCAAATTGAATGTCGTATAGTATATTTGAACAGATTTTCAAGCAGCATATGCCACTTGAAAATCAGAAAAAAATAAAGAATGCTATACACTAATGAATTAAAGTTGAAGGGACGACGACGTTTCGGTCCATCCTGGACCATTCTCAAATCGATTGTGAGTCAAGTCAAGTCGAACATTCTCAAGTCACAATCGACTTGAGAATGGTCCAGGACGGACCGAAACGTCGTCGTCCTTTCAACTTTTAGTGTGTGGTCTGGTCAACATACTTCAGCCACGTTATTGTGACTCATCGCCTGCATAATGAATTAAATATGTAAACTAAATAAAAAGATTTTAATTTGGAAGGGATTTTTTATAGGGCAATGCATAACTTGGCTTCTTGGGAATACATGACACTGGTTTTAATACCATTTTCTCATCATCATCAATCATTATCTGATGCAAGTTCTTTCCTTCTCTGAAAACTTTATATAGTATGTACTGTAATATCTTAATGTTTCAATCACAATTACTGTACACTTGTATCCCTACATTTATCACTAGCCATTTTCTTCTAAAATTTTAAGCAAGTCTCACTGTACCTGTTTGATACATAGAAGTATTCTAGCAGGCCGTTGACAAGCCAGGCCTCACGAACGCTAGCGAAGGTCTCCTTCAACAATGCCCGCACCTCTTGGTAGACATCATCCTGAGTACTCTCCAACAGTCCCAACACATCAGCAACATTCAAGTCCCTCACCTCTGCCATGGTCACTGTTAAAGTAAGAGCTCATATTTAAAAGGATGTCAGAAAAAACATTCTCTGCCTTAATAGAATTTGAAAATCCATCTTGCCTCCAATATGGAGAATCTTTACTAAATAAATTATTAAGAGATTACATCCAGTATGTGTAATAAAGATCTTATGCTTTATCATCACTTGCACAAAGACTCATTGCCAAGACATGATATTCAGGTGTAAACGAGACCAATAATAAATCTAGCCTCATAGGGCGAGCATCAGCACTGTAGGGAGTGGGGTGGTTTGGGCTGGGCATCAGCCCTGTGGGGAGGGGCAAAGGTCAACCTGGCATTGGCACCTGGAAGGAGGGTCGACCTTGCATTAGCACCCGAGGGGGAGGGGGGGAGTCTACCTTGCATTGGCACCTGAGGGGGGGGGTCAACTTGTGGCAGCTAGGTGGACCCCCTCATCTTGACAGTGGTACATGGGGAAGAGGGGAGGACCAGGGTGTCAGCGCCTGGAAAGGGTCGAGTGGACCTGGGTGTCAGCGCCTGGAAAGGGTCGAGTGGACCTGGGTGTCAGCGCCTGGAAAGGGTCGAGTGGACCTGGGTGTCAGCGCCTGGAAAGGGTCGAGTGGACCTGGGTGTCAGCGCCTGGAAAGGGTCGAGTGGACCTGGGTGTCAGCGCCTGGAAAGGGTCGAGTGGACCTGGGTGTCAGCGCCTGGAAAGGGTCGAGTGGACCTGGGTGTCAGCGCCTGGAAAGGGTCGAGTGGACCTGGGTGTCAGCGCCTGGAAAGGGTCGAGTGGACCTGGGTGTCAGCGCCTGGAAAGGGTCGAGTGGACCTGGGTGTCAGCGCCTGGAAAGGGTCGAGTGGACCTGGGTGTCAGCGCCTGGAAAGGGTCGAGTGGACCTGGGTGTCAGCGCCTGGAAAGGGTCGAGTGGACCTGGGTGTCAGCGCCTGGAAAGGGTCGAGTGGACCTGGGTGTCAGCGCCTGGAAAGGGTCGAGTGGACCTGGGTGTCAGCGCCTGGAAAGGGTCGAGTGGACCTGGGTGTCAGCGCCTGGAAAGGGTCGAGTGGACCTGGGTGTCAGCGCCTGGAAAGGGTCGAGTGGACCTGGGTGTCAGCGCCTGGAAAGGGTCGAGTGGACCTGGGTGTCAGCGCCTGGAAAGGGTCGAGTGGACCTGGGTGTCACCGCCTGGAAAGGGTCGAGTGGACCTGGGTGTCAGCGCCTGGAAAGGGTCGAGTGGACCTGGGTGTCACCGCCTGGAAAGGGTCGAGTGGACCTGGGTGTCACCGCCTGGAAAGGGTCGAGTGGACCTGGGTGTCACCGCCTGGAAAGGGTCGAGTGGACCTGGGTGTCACCGCCTGGAAAGGGTCGAGTGGACCTGGGTGTCACCGCCTGGAAAGGGTCGAGTGGACCTGGGTGTCACCGCCTGGAAAGGGTCGAGTGGACCTGGGTGTCACCACCTGGAAAGGGTCGAGTGGACCTGGGTGTCACCACCTGGAAAGGGTCGAGTGGACCTGGGTGTCACCACCTGGAAAGGGTCGAGTGGACCTGGGTGTCACCACCTGGAAAGGGTCGAGTGGACCTGGGTGTCACCACCTGGAAAGGGTCGAGTGGACCTGGGTGTCACCACCTGGAAAGGGTCGAGTGGACCTGGGTGTCACCACCTGGAAAGGGTCGAGTGGACCTGGGTGTCACCACCTGGAAAGGGTCGAGTGGACCTGGGTGTCACCACCTGGAAAGGGTCGAGTGGACCTGGGTGTCACCACCTGGAAAGGGTCGAGTGGACCTGGGTGTCACCACCTGGAAAGGGTCGAGTGGACCTGGGTGTCACCACCTGGAAAGGGTCAAGTGGACCTGGGTGTCACCACCTGGAAAGGTTCGAGTGGACCTGGGTGTCACCACCTGGAAAGGGTCGAGTGGACCTGGGTGTCACCACCTGGAAAGGGTCGAGTGGACCTGGGTGTCACCACCTGGAAAGGGTCGAGAGGACCTGGGTGTCACCACCTGGAAAGGGTCGAGTGGACCAGGGTGTCACCACCTGGAAAGGGTCGAGTGGACCTGGGTGTCACCACCTGGAAAGGGTCGAGTGGACCTGGGTGTCACCGCCTGGAAAGGGTCGAGTGGACCTGGGTGTCACCGCATGGAAAGGGTCGAGTGGACCTGGGTGTCACCACCTGGAAAGGGTCGAGTGGACCTGGGTGTCACCACCTGGAAAGGGTCGAGTGGACCTGGGTGTCACCACCTGGAAAGGGTCGAGTGGACCTGGGTGTCAATGTGGACCTGAAAGAGGGTAGAGTGGGGGGGGGGCTGGCGTAGGACCTGGTGTCAGCACTAGGAAGGAAGTGGGAGGTGTTAGACCTGGACACTGACGCCAGCGGTCAAGCTGAGAAGACAGCAGGTTGACAGTGTTGACAACCAGGTGGTCAAGTGGCGGGGCAGCGTACCAGGAGGTGCTCGTGACTGCCACACTGGTGGCGGTAAACAAGTCAGTGGGCTCAGGTCCAACCCATGCCCCTCTTTCCCCCACCCCATCACCCCTCCCTCCCCCCTACCTCACAACCAATAATACACCGCCTCGTTTCTCGACACTGGCAACACAAACCTCCACCAAACCCTTCCTCGGGACCAGTGAGCTGTTGGTGAGAGTCGGTAATGCTTTATGGCGAGGCGTTCATTCATGTGGAGGCCCCCCAAATACCTGTTATTTTCACATGTTCGCCGATGGGCTCCGTCACACTGCCATCGCTTTAAGCCACAGAAAATCAGCTGTTTGTGCTGATATCACGGCAGCCAACTGTTTGACTATTTTGTTAGTTGCTATAAAAATGACTGCAAATGCATCGTTTTAATATATATTTATATGAGTGTCCTTTAAAATCCATAGTATTTATTATATTATTCATATTATCAATAAAATGCACAAGTTGATGCAAACTTGAGAATACAAAAACATTATATTTCATGTTCTGTTGGTACGCTTGGACACTCAGACTTCGAAGCTCATATTGTAGACAAAGAAATCAGACCTGAATTTATTTAATTGTGCGCTCTACGTATGTTAGAGAGACAAAGTTTCTATAGAATATGAAGGACAAAAATACAAAATACTGAATAATAGCCAACTAGCAATTGATTGTCAAGGAAGAAACGCGTATCGTCACCTAAAATTTTCGCGAACTATAAAACTAATGAAATTTGACGAGAATAAATCCCCTTAGTTACAAGGATTATATGTTGCTTTTACGAAGTAAAGAGGCATTATTTTCTTTACAAAAATATTATTTGATATATGGGATCAGAATAACAAATCAAAAATTACTATTTCTGAGGTCGAACGAAACGCAAAATAGATCATTTTTTTAATTAAACTATAAAGTATAGTTTAATTAAACTATAAAGAAAATAATGTAAAAAAAAATAATATTAATTCATTGTGTCGGGGGACAGGCTGCCAGTATATATATATAAATATATATACATGTTGGGGTTATATCAAGGTTCCCCCTCCAGAAGGCGGCCCAAAAACAAGCTGACTAACGACCGGGAATCTACTTAATGCTAGGGTAAACAGGAGCATGAGATGATAGGAAATATGGCCATTTCCGCCCCGCCCAGGATTCGAACCCAGAACTATCGATTGTAAGTTGAGAATGAGCCCTACTATACTACCGGGACCCTTGGTATATAGAGCACACTTGAAGGTGCGTGAAGTTACGATATTTACTTGAGGGCCACTAATTAACCCCAGTGGCCTCGACGAGGACAGGAAGCCAGCGGCATGTCGAGGGCCCCCCATCCCCCCTCCAATTGCCTTGATGATCTTATCCTGGTATATTTTAAAATTCAACACAGTTTTGGCAGTTACGGCTTCGGCGGGTAGGCGGTTCCATGGGGTCAACTGTGGTTGAAAAAGCATCTCCTGTCTCAATTCTACATTGTGGCTTGTTGAGCTTGAAACCGTTGCTCCTTGTCTGTGTTACATCTGACCTTCTGAAGAAAATATCCGGATCAACATCATCTAACTTGTTCAGTATTGTATTTTAAAAGTTTCAATAGATCCGCCCTGTCATGCCTTGTTTGCAGTGTTGATAGCCCTGTGGCTTTCAAACGTTCCTGGTATGGGAGATGACTTAGCTCTGGAATGACTTTTGTTGCCCGGTATTGCACCTCCTCCAGAGCAACTATATCTTTCTGGAAATGAGGTCTCCATGCTTGTATACTGTAATCCAAATATGGGGCCCACCAGAGATTTATCCTGTTGAGCCTTTACCTTCTTTTCCTTATAATCAAAAGTACGCTTGATTATCCCAAGAGTTTGGTTAGCTATTCTTACTGCTGCACCCACCTGTTGAGCAACTTTTAATGAGTGGTGGATTTTGACTCCAAGGTCCTTTTCTTCATCAATCTGCTGTAATGTAATGCAATTAATTTGGTAGTCGTCGCGTGGGTTGTTATGACCCCACATGCAAGGTTTTGCATTTGTCGATATTAAAAGGCCTTTGCCATATTTTGACCATTTGTGAAGTTTATGTAGATCTCTTTGTAAGGCTTCAATATTGTAAGGTACGATTATGTTCCGTTGTTGAGTAGATAAGATACACAGTGTTTAGTGAGATTCGTATTTATTGAGTAGCCTAGATTACAGTAGTCGGTTGTGGGCATTGTCGTAGATGTTCAAACGGAGCTTGGAGCAGAGCAGAGAGCTGGGTGAGGCCGGAGTCGCGGAGCTCTGTGTGGAGAGTGTGGCAGCTCGATGGGGAATCGTGAGTGTCTGAACTCGATGGGGAGCGAGAGCCTTGTAGCTTGATGCGATGGTAGTCTGCTGTCTGTCTGCTCTGTGTCGAAGCTTGTACCAGCTTGAGGTCGATTAGAACTGTACATGCCGAGTGCTATATTCTTGAGGTTGAAGAGGCGAGGTAAATCCAAAGTGTCTGTACTGGAGTTATCTGAATCATTGTGGAAATTGTACTGTTGGCTATTTGATTGATTGATAAAGATTACGATTCGATTGATAAAGATTGATAAAACTGATTGAATTGATTCGATTGATAAAACGATTACGATTGATAAAGATTGTTACGATTCTTCGCGGCAGGGGATCGTATTCCAGGGACCTGCCCGAAACGCTACGCATACTAGTGGCTGTACAAGAATGTAACACCTCTTGTATATATCTCAAAAAAAAAAAAAAATTAAGCCATCCAAGAGGTGGCACGGGCATGAATAGCCCGTAAGTGGTACAATTTTTTGTTCAGTAAATCTTTTCAGTGTTCTGAGGTCGCTTTTAGTCGTAAAGCTGCTATCGCGGGGAAGGATACTGCTTGACAGTATTTATGAGGGTGTCCAGCTGCTGGACACCTTTTTTGACCGAAAGAGTGGCTGTGTTGATGGTTTCAGAGTGATTACTGCAAGATTCGGGACTCTTAAAGCTCTTCTGAGGTCGTTGGTTGCTTCACATTCCAGAAGATAGTGAAGTAGTGACTTTTCTGTGACAGTTTGGCAGGTTGGCTATTCACTTCAAGCTTGCTTATATTTGGTGACTACACCTCAGCTTTCTCCAATAAGATAGAAGGATGAAAGAACTGTTACCTGCTATCTTGAGCTATCTTGAGATGATTTCGGGGCTTTAGTGTCCCCGCGGCCCGGTCCTTGACCAGGCCTCCACCCCCAGGAAGCAGCCCGTGACAGCTGACTAACACCCAGGTACCTATTTTACTGCTAGGTAACAGGGGCATAGGGTGAAAGAAACTCTGCCCATTGTTTCTCGCCGGCACCTGGGATCGAACCCAGGACCACAGGATCACAAGTCCAGCGTGCTGTCCGCTCGGCCGACCGGCTCCCTAACCTGTAATTAGGGAAAAGATTATAGCTTCTGTAATTAGTGCTAATTAATTATGCCATTAAGCTAATGAGAGACTGGAGCGAGTATAAGGTTTACTCGCTACAATATCATTATCATTACCCACTTTACCATAATTTTAAAATATTTAACATCTTCAAGGATTTCACTAAGGGTACTAAATGCTGTCTGGGATTGGCGTTTGTTACTGTTCTAATTACTGATTTATGTTGAGTAATAATGGGTCATATAGGCAATTTTGTGTTGTTCCCTAGGCACAAATACCATAAGTGAAGAAATATGGATAGATGAGTGAATAATGCAAACAAGCCTGAATGGTCCCCAGGACTATATACAACCTTCGGCAACATTCTTAATTTTCCGTTTTTTGTTGCACTGGTACAGAAGACTGACTCTTGTCAACCCGTTCATGAGTGAATAATAAAGTGCTACCAATACTGAGCGAGACATATCGGATTTTAGAGAGAATGTCTACTTTTTTCGAAACATTTTTGTTTTGTTTTGAATATGACAATTTAAATTCAGTTTATTATGTGTGAACAAAAATTAATGTATGGGTTTGTGAGCCCCTTGAGGGACCTTAAATAGACGAGGGTAGAAATAGCCCAAGTTACTTTATCCTTTTAAGATGGTATTTAATTTTTTCAATAAACTTACTTTAACTTAAACCAATTAATGAATTACATTATCTGTCATTATTCCAGCCTAATTTTTTGTCAATTAAACCATTAAACTGTAAGTCGATGTATACAGCTTCCTATATTATACTAATTACAGTACTTATATAAAACTCTGAAGCTCTCGACTCTTTCGAGGAGAGCTTATTAAATATAAATTTAAAAGAGATTATTTTAGACAATATAAAAGATGGATGTCAGATCAGATCATTTTTTGTAATTTTTAGAGCAAATTCCAAAATATTTTATGTAATTATTTTAATATTTCACATTGTTTAACAATTATTAATTTTTGCCAAAATAAACAATATTTAAGAATGATAATAGTTTACAAATATTTATAATTTGTTTACTCTTGTGGTATATCAATGTCATATTTAAAAAAGGCGCTAAAAATATTCTTTGGGGGGAGGGTGAAGACCATTAATATAATTCATAATCCAACCCCTAGCAGGTGTATTAAACCATTATATATATATTGATTTAGACAGCATACATTTATTTCAGTATTACTTTAGCAATATGTTCAAGCTTTAGAAAGGAACATAGGTAAAATGTTAATATTAATTTAACCATAATGCACTCTGGTTTAGTTTAGTTTAGTCTCCCAATGCTACGAGAATATTACCTTCGGCAACATTCTTAATTTTCCGTTTTTTGTTGCACTGGTACAGAAGACTGACTCTTGTCAACCCGTTCTCGCACTTTCTTATAGTCAATATTGACTTATTAAATACGTGTATATGTGACATACTAATTTATCTTGTCAGCCGGTTTAGCACTCTATCATAATACTTACTTTCTTACTTTCCCACAGCTCATCTCAAGTCATATTCTATTATAGTTTTTCCCTGGAACACGACCAGAAAATAGGGTGTCAATGGGAAACTCTGATATTTTAATTCAAGTACTGGTGCCTGATGCACTACTTCTATTCAGAATAAAATAATTAGAAATATATGTGAAGAAAATATAAGCCGTTCAACCTAAATTCTGGTAAGTGTTACCAGTAATATACAATGTTAAAAATTATGTAGTGCAGTGATCAGCAAAGTCAATCCCCCAATATATGTGTTCGATTCTCACGACAGGACAGTTCAAGTATGTTTATTGAGATAAGCAATAAATACATCTCAAAGGGATAGAGTAGCTTAGGCTATTTCTACCCCCCTCTACTTCAAGTCCCTCAAGGGGCGCACAAATT